TGACATGAGGGTGGTTTCTTGCAAAAAAATTTGAAGAGGGGGTTTTTTACAAAAAATTCCATCAGCCCTGGCCGGAACAGTAACTCCGGCCAAATTCAAGGCCTATATGGCGCCAGAGTTGAAAATTTATACCAATCTGACAAAACTAAAAGAAAATATACCAACATGTCACCAAGGCTCTACAAAATATACCAATCTGGCCATTTTACCCATCCTATTGTGGAAAATTTGTGAGAAATCTAGAGAGCTCTGTTTGAGGGTTTTTGGTGAGATTCGTAACCCTATTTGTATTCTCTTGATTTTTAATAGTAAGAACTCCCCCTCCTTACCCCGTGAACATAGGCAATTTGTTGAACCACGTAAAATTTGTTTGTCTTGCTGTGGTATTGTGTTTGGCTTATTGGTTGTGATTTATCTTGTTCTTGTTCGTGTGGTTTCGAGCTTCCACCACACACAACAAGTGGTATCAGAGCTTTCAGGTTTGGCTTGAGACTTGTTCGAAGGATTCGGTGAAGGATTCCTATTTGAAGAGTTAGATTGACAATATGGGGGAAGCAAGTACATCAGGTTCGTCTCTTACGAAGGCGATACAGAGTCTGAGCATCAATAATACCAAGATTGATGTTCTGAAGTTTGATTGTAAGATAATTTCGGTTTATGGAGGTGTCAGGTGATGGATGCATTGGATGCACAGAATTTGGAGGAGACTCTTGAGTTACAAGAGAAACCCGCTGACATGGAGGATAAACTTTGAAAGAAGATGAATAGTAGGGCTTGTGGGGTTATTCGGTCATGCTTGACGTCGGATCTTATTTATAACATGATGAACGAGACGTCGACGAAGAGAATGTGAGAAACGCTCAATGAGAAGTATCTTACGAAGAGCATTGAGAATCGGCTTTACTTGAAGAAGAGGTTTTACCAGTTCAAGATGAAAAGGAGAGTTTTCATTAGGGAGCATGTAAATAATTTCACGAATCAACTTTCAGATATGGCCAATGTGGACATTATGGTTGAGGATGAAGACAATGTGATGCTACTTTTGTGTTCATTGTCCTAGGATGATTATGATACGTTCGTTCTCACTATGATCAACGAAATAACTACTGTTAGCTATAAGGAGATGACCTCATCTTTGATAAATTATGAGTTGAGGAAGAGTATTGGTGAACCCTCCAAAAAAGCATCGGGAGATGCATTAGCAGTTTGAGACCGTAGTCCAAATCGATGTTAAGTCAACCATTCAAAATCGAAGAACAGATGTGCCTTTAAGAGTGTTGGTAGAAATCAATATCGGTATTGTAAAGAAGAAGGACATTGGAAGATTGACTGCTCAAAGTGGAAGGATAAAATCGGGAAGAATAAGGGGAAAGATGTACAAGCTTCAGAAGTGAATATTGCAAAAGGTGTTGGTGAACATTTAGATTCAGATTCTTCGGGCTATTCGTGTCCTGTACTACCGTCAATTTTCTATACCGACTCTACGGAGTGGATGTTAGATTCGGAAGCCACATATTATATTTGCCCTCCGTTGACGATCCGCACGTCTTGATTCACTGGAACGATGTCTTCTCCTCACGATTTGACGTTGTGGAGGAACGATGTCTTCTCCTCACGATTTGACGTTGTGGAGAACTTGCGTGGCAAGTTTTAGAACTCTGAACGAGTTGATAACTCTGAACGAGTTTTAACTCTGGAAAAAGAGTTGATTTAAACCGACAATCGGTTAATAGCCAAGGATGAGGAAACTCCTATTGCCGAACGTTGAAGATGATCTTCCTTGAAGGATGATGCTGATCTCCTCCGAAGTTCGCCCAATGATCTCCCCTGTTGCTGCTGTAGGCGTCTAAAAATGCCTATGGGTGTCCGCACACAGCTCGAGACAGAGAGAAGATGATAAACGTCGCTATTAGAGTCGCAGGAGCTCGTTTGACAACGACAAATACATGAAGTGAGTCGACGGATCATACGAAGCAACGGAACTTCGGAATAACAGAAACGAGAGCTGATCGGGAGCCCCACGTCGTTTACAAAAGGCGGAGCACCCCTCGTGTCCCATTTATTCCAAATATGATTCAATTATGGGAGCCTGTAGATCTCCTCGTTGGCTTTCCAACGCATCTTGAATCACCTCATTCCGAGGTCGGATGAGTGAGTTAAGGCTGTTACAGTAACCGCGGGTCGGATGGTTGCTACAGTGCCGGAGGTTGTACGAAAGAGTTATGACGAAAATACCGCAGATATCTCAAACTGACCCGCGCTACAGTAACAGCGGGTCGGGATTTTCCGACCCGCGCTACAGTAACAGCGGGTCGGAATTTTCCGACCCGCGCTACAGTACCGCGGGTCGGATTTTTCCTGCGCGCGCTGTTTCGACCCCGGTTTGGTTTTTGACGGTTTTTCTCGGGATTTGGTCGTTCCTGAGCATCCAAACTGACTTGATATCATCCCTTAGCATGGTTAATCAGTTATTAACTGAAGATAGAGCCAAATCACTTGTTCTCATCCAAATAACCGCTTCTGAAGCTTATAAATACGAGCTCGGGTGCTCATTTCTGAGGGGCGGAGTTATTATCAAGAGGACGAAGTGCTGCCGGATTGAGGAGTCAAAGGAGCACGAATTTCAGCGAGGATTGACAGATCTTGGCGAGTTCTTCAGCATAAAGAAGGAGAGTTCGAGAGATCCGAAGCCCGTTTCCTCCGTTCCTTGAGATCAGGCTTGGTCTTGATCTCGAGAAGAACCCTGATTTCGCTTGGTCGATCTCAGCGCTTCAAATTAAATACTTCCTCGGCAAAGGCGAAGCTCTGCCGAATTTTCCATCAACCGGATCCAGATCTAAGGCGGTCTACGGATAAACCCCGGCACAGGCAAAGATCCCACGCAAGCAGAAGATCG